CTTGGACGCGGTGCTGTGCAGCCTGCTCTGGGTGACCCTGCTTGGGCAGGGGGTTGGGCTGGGTGACCCACAGAGGTCCCTGGCAACCCCTGACATTCTGTGATTCTGATAGACTCGCTTCTCGTTCACGAGGCGTCGTCTGCCGCCATCTTCTTTGCTTGTGGGCCTTAAGTTCCTTGTGGTTAACATTCCTTTTTTTGCGTAAAGGTTCGTTCTGTCAGTGTGCAAGTTTTAAAAAGTCTCACTGACCTGCATTGTGACCACATCTCTGTTTCTCACGACACATTTGATAGAAGCAGGGCAGTGACATCACTTAGAAGATGCTTTTGAGAAGCAAATGGATCATTCGTGTCCATGGTGCAAATGGTGTGCTTACCCCACTCTGAGATGCAGGAGGATATTAAACTCATTAACTCAGTATATTAAAGCTCATCCAATGCCAAATATCACTGCTGGTTTTTGAGGGACTGGTGATACCCTAGAGCTGTGATCTGCTGTGTCCAGAAGTGAATTCTGTCCCTGAAGCGCAGGTGCAGGTTAATTGCTTTATCCAGTACAAGTAGCTTTGTTTGGAGCACAGTCTTTGTATTGTGGGATTCTAGCTCCTGAATAATGAGATGTTGGGTCAACAACCAGGAAAAGTTGAGTCAACAGTGAGGGAAGAAAATGTCTTTGCATGGTCGTGAGTTGTGTGTGTTGCTCTTTGGAAGAGACGAGGGATTACTGCTATGTGTAACGTGTTTGTCCAGATAACAGGGCTAGGAATTGAATTTCTCGGTCATCATTTCACCTTTCCTTCTTTGCTTAACAAGTTATAACTGTATTGCCAATAAAAACAATCTGTTGGCTGATGCCTTTTAGTGTAGTCAGTCAGCCAGAGCCAGTTCGAAGGGACTTGAAAAATGGAAAACCCTCGGTGTTGAGTTTTGGTCAGAGGTTGTCCTGGAATACATGATTTTAGTGTTACATAGATCTTTCTCTGTGGTAAAATATGAAAGCGCTCGGGGGCATCAGTATTTGTTTCTATGAATTGGAATTTTGCTGGTAAGGTACTGGTTAATTCTGGCTTTGTTCATTTCTCCTGACAGATGAAACAGAATTCAGAAACTTTATTGTCTGGCTTGAAGATCAGAAGATCAGACACTACAAGATCGAAGACCGAGGGAATTTAAGAAACATACACAGTGATGACTGGCCCAAATCGTTTGAAAAGGTACTTTGACATTTCAAACACAGTTTTAAATTACGGAGATGTCTTACGTAAATGATGATTATTAGCTCCTATGTTGTTGAATGTAAATGACTCTGAATATTTGTCCTGTCTCTGAACTTTTACATGTCTAGGAGTTTAAATGTAACATTGAAGCCAAATTTCAGGAGTTAAGATGGTAGAACTTTTTGTACGTGACTTTCACTCAGCTGTGTTTTTGCAATAGGTGGTATCCGTTCCAACCTGGTTTTTTGCCTGATTTGATTCAGCTATTGAAATAGAAAGAAAATTGACTGCAAATAAACAGCTCTTTCTGCATTAATGGTTCTTAAGTACCAAAAGGAAAATGGATTATGCTAATGCACTCATAGGCTTTGCAAGCATGTGGAAGAAAGCTACTGCAGTTCGTCTCTGCACCTCTTGTTATTTCAGACAGATGATTTTCCACTGCTAGCACAGAGCGTGGCAAGCAGCCATCGTTTTGTGAGTGATCTCCTGTGTGCTTGTGAGCATTTTGAGTCACCACAGCGCTGTTGAGCTTTCCCTCTTGGTTCCCGTTTCCTTTCTCTCCAAAGAGCGTTGTGAGGAGCTGAAAATGCTGCTCCGTAGTGCTCAGTGCCCATTCCTCTTGCTTTTTTCCCCTAGAACCTCTTGCCTTGCTCACTGCCCAGGAGGACTGGAGTTGCAGTGCTCATGCTTTGCAGGGAGGAACCTAAAGCATTCTAATATCATGTACATAAATGTACGTGCTATTAGAATTAAGGGCTGCTGGTACTGTTGTGTTGTCAGTGGTGTCTTTCTTGGCTTGGCCAGACTGCCCTCCTCTGCATGCCTGCCAGGGGAGCTCTGCCTGCTTGTGCTCCCCAGCCCCCAGTGCCTTTTCCCTCCAGAGCTGGTGCTGCTGGAGTAGTGCCTGTGTGGCACTTCTCTCCCTCTAGCAAACGGGCACGGCAAAGTGTCGCTACATCCTGGGCTTTGGGAGTCGTGGCAGCAGGCTGGGCTGGGTCCTGCCTTCAGACAGTCAGAGATGATGTCCCAATCACATTTTGTCCTCTGCTGTTGTACACAGTCCCTGAGAAAGGGAAAATTACTTCTGCTTCTCCTCAGAATCTTCTGATTTTTGTCCCGGTGGCTTAAAGGCAGTGTGTCAGTATTGTGAAAGCCTTAAGTAGCGTCATCCCCCCTTCCTGCTTTAGATGGGAAGTTTGGGCTGTCATTTCTTTATTCTCTGTCCTCCCCTTTCCCTTGCCTCCACTGACTGTGTGAAGTGAACAGAGAGCAAGGACAGGGGTATCTTTGGTTTCTCTGCTTGCAGTCTGACAAGGAATAACATGCATTAAAAAGCAGGTGTCCTTACTAAATGGCAGACTTGAGTTAGCGGTGGATTGGAGCACTCTAAAATGCCTCGGATGGATCCGATGCCACAGCAGAATATTTCAGTGATGCTTCTTGTTAATTATATTCTTACAGCTGTAAGGTCTGTGGGAAAGTGACTGTTTACGAAACAGTTCTGTGCTCCTAGCTGATTTGTGCAGGTCAATAACATCTATTTGCTTTCTCCTCTTTCTGCTCCTCAGTATATGAAAGACGTAAACTGTCCTTTCAAAATACAAGAAAGACAAGAAACAGTGGACTGGCTTCTCGGCTTAGCAGTTAGGCTCGAGTATGGAGATAATGGTATGAGTGAATATATTTAATATTTCAAAATGGCAGGGAAATGTGTTTAATTTTATGAAGTATTTGTCAAATGAAGACAATTTCAAAAGTATATATTGTTTCCTTAAAAAAACCAAAAATATAATTTCATCTGCTTGTTTTGGGCCATATTCAGATGTGAGCTGTTTCCCTTCAGCTCCCGTGGGACTTGCATTTATTACTTTATTTCTGGGTATAGAAAAACCCATTGTATATATTTATACCTTTCTCCCTGTGGGATTGCCTTTAGGAGAACTTACTCTAAAGTGTATTAAATGCATTTTGTTTAGTACTACATTTATTAGAATAAGTTATTCTTAGACCCTTGTTTCACAGGGAGTACCTGAACCCTTGGGAACTAGGGCAGAGTTGTGAAGAAAGTTGGGTTAAATCTCAACAGTCAGCAGCAGTTTCATTTCCTCCTAGTGAGAGTGCAGATATAATTACTGGTGGCAGACAGCATAATAGCCAAGGTACTGTTTTCCATTACCTTGAATTCCTGCAGGGCTGAGCTCTGCCCAAGACACGGATGGGATATAAATCTGTAGAGCTGGTTCTCAGGCCCTCATGATGGAGAAAATGAGCTGCCTGTGACTCAGGGGTACATGAAGATGGAGGAGCCAGGAGGTCCCATCCTCAAAAGGCTTGAAGAACCCCTGTGTGGGGAGTAGATGAATGCTGCAGCAAAGCCTTCGCTGGAAACGTTTTACTTGCTGATCAGAACCAGCTTCAATCTGTAGTTCCTGAGCCGTACATATGCTGCTGATTGAGGCAAAGGGCCAATGCTAGTTGAACTGATGGATTTTAAACGTAGTAGAACTGTCAGGTGCAGCTTGTTCAGCCTTCTGGGACAAAGACTGTAGGAAGAGCCCGCATCAAGAGCATAATGCCCTACATAAGTGTGGAGCATGCTCTGATGCTGCTCTGGATAGCACACGAGCTCCCTGCAGATGGGAGCTGTTAGGGTAGCTCACCAGAAGAGCAGCCTTTGGGGACTTTAGTAGGGAGCTCCAAAACATCAGCGTATGAGCCCAGAAGGCTCTGGGGCAATTACCACGCCCCAGAAGTACAGCTATCACAAACTGCATCTTGATTCTAAACTTTTAACTGTGTTATTTTTGCCATTAGCTCTAATGTTGTTTGTATTTGCTTCTTAATTTAACAGCTGATAAGTATAAGGATTCCACCCCTGATGGTGGTAAAAATACTGACAATACAGCAAAAAACGCAGAACCGCTGATCAACTTGGATGGTAAGTGTGCTGCAGCCTGCTGTACTGCTGCATCATACGTGAATGTGTTCCATGGCCCGTGTGGTGTTCTTCAGCTTTTAAATTGTTATAATACTGTGATACATAGAGCTTTTAGAAGCCCATTTACAGCTTTAGGAATGCAGAGTTCATATATTCTTTTACAGGTGGCTGAAACTGCCTCTCTGTGAACAGTGTTCTGGGAGTTACTTTGAGTTGTTTGCACTGGTCTGCATTCACAGAGTGGTGGGGGTTGGCAGGGCCCTCTGTGGAATCTACCGGCAAAATTTCCGAAGATGAAGCCTAAAAAGAGCTCTGAAATCAATTCTGTGTGGGTCCCGCAGATGAATATATGGACCGAGACCACTGATCTCCCACTACAACGTGTATTAAAACCATTTGCTCTCACGTGCTCGAATGTGTGTGTTCTGATTCATGGCTTTTATTCTTCATGGCTATACTTTTCTTGTGATGAAGTACAAATTGAAGAGAGTGATGTAGTTTGAGCTGCTGATGCTCTGTTCTGGCACTGCAGAGCCAGCAGCCAGTGTTTCCCAGGCTCTGAGCTGCAAGGTCCAGCCGTGGTGGGCTCTGCGTAAGAGGCTGTGCCACAGCTCCGGCTGACTTGAGCTGCCGTGTCGGAGCCAGGAGGAAGCACAGCAGCACGGGACGCAGCGCTCTTCAGCAGTGTGCCCATCCCTTTCCATAGCTGTGCCAGCGAGAACCAGCGATGAGCAAACCCCTTGCATTTCATCTGCTTCTTTTGCCCCTTCTTGGTGGGGGGGGGAAGGGGAGGAGCAGAGAGGAGAATCTTTCCCAGAAAAACAAGGTGCCCAGAGACTTGTTCAGATATGAATAAGTTGGGAGGGTGCTTATCAGGCAATGAGGAAGCAGCTGGAGGGCATTTACCTTGCAGAGAGCTCTGGAAAACATGAGTAATTAGTGTGGGTTAGGGGGAGACAGCAAGATACCTTTTGACTACAGACTCTAACATATCTTAAAAAAAAAAAAAGCTAAGGAAACGTGATGGTGGGCTGTTTACTTCGATACTGTCACGTATTACATGCTGGCTCAGTCTTCTCCAGCTGCACCTTTCTCATAAGCATTGTAATTTTTGTGACTGCTAGGCACATTCACAATGAATGGAAGTGGTAGAAAATAGCTACTAAAATTAACCCTAAATCCTCCAAGTCTTCTCTCATTGCTCCTTCTACAAAAAGACAGCTAGGAATTGGTCCTGCCCTCACCCAGCAGGCACAGTTCTGCTCTGCAGTGATAGAAAGGTTTACAAAAGAGAACAGTCTCATGTAATTGGCTTTATTATTAAAGACTGAACACAGGTTTCCTATGCAGTAGGACATGTGCAATGTGTTTGGCATTGAAAACATTGCTGTTTGTGCTTGGGTGGTGTTCTGCAACCTGGTTATGGAGCCTGGTGCGCACTTCGATTGCTTTGTAGCCAGACTGAGTGGTTCCTCACTGCTGGGTATCCGTGGCCTTGTCCATCCTTGAGAGCAATGCGATACCGTGGGGTCAGGAAGCCAATTCTGTCTTGCAGAGCCAGCTAAACTAGCGTATATTTTTAATAATGATGATTATTTTTACAGTGAATAATCCTGATTTCAAGGCTGGAGTGATGGCTTTAGCTAATCTGCTTCAGATTCAGCGACATGATGATTACTTGGTAATGCTTAAGGTGAGTTTCACAGTTTTCAGACCTCCTTTCTTCCTTCTTTTGCCCAGTGGCTGGTAGGTACGTAGCAGCTCGTGGTGCACAGTAGCTGATAACTCTGACTTTTGACAAACAGGCAGAAAGTAAAACTCATCCTGCCTTTTCAAGCAGGCAAGAACGTGGAATATAAATCGTAGAAATTAATGCAGGGGTAATTATCTCGATAAACACTTCAATGGTAGCTGAGTTCCTGGAATTCCAGCACTGAGTACTGTTGTTCAGAATTTGAAGTGCTCTGGGTTAGCTGAAGTCCTGCTTGATGTGCTTTTAATGAACCTCAGAAATACTGAGGAACACACTCAAAGGAGAAGATTGTAGTCTGGTGCTAGAAATAAAGAGAAACTTGAAAGCATGGAGCCTAAGTGATGCAAAGGATGTTTTAAAATAACCTCGGGAGGAGCCACAGTTAAAAGCTACTTCCTCCTGGCTTCTGGTCCTGGGACCTGTTTGCTCCTTGTCATTACTGAAGTCACTTTAATTTAGTCGTCACAACTAAGCATGGCTTTTAAATGCAGTAAATTGGCTACTATTCTAAATCATCTTTTTATGACTTTGAGGAAATTTGTGACTTAGTGGCGGAACTCAGTAGCTACCTGTGAACTCCGGGTCCAACCTGTACTGTATTTTTGAAGTACTGTGTTTATTGAGGCTGTAGCAATCCCGAGTTCCTGCTTAATCATGTCATGATATGGAAATAGGCTTAGTTTTGTTCAGCACCAAAATAAACTAATTTAACTGAAAAAACAAGAAGGTCCATTCATTACAGAAGCTGTGATATTTGCTGAATTTGTTTTGGAGAAACTGAGTCGCATGGGTATTTAAGTTTATGTAGTGTGTGTAGGTCTAGAACAGCTATCCTTAAACAGTATTATCATGCTAGCCTTGTTTCTTAAGGAAATGGCAGCCTGCATCAACCACTTTCTCATTCTCCCCAGTACGGTATTCCCCTTTGCTTTCCCAAAATAGCCTTTGAACCCTTCGCTAATCTTTAAAGAGCAGTGGAGATCTCGTATATCAGACCACTACCAAAAAAACCTCCAAAAAGCAAAGAGGATATTGGGTAGAGAGAGAAGAGACCCTGTGAATGGCAGTGTTGAGGATCTGCAGTTCCTTCAGGCCGTCTTACAGGATTATCTCGAGGTTAGAAAACTATCTGGGTTCATTTAATTTGGTACCAACAACTCAAAGGGAAAGCAGAATGTGTTTTCTGCAGAAGTGTATTTACATTTCTGTCACTATTTCCACATTTCTAGTCTCGCTTTTTTCAGACAGAAGCGGTTGGACAAAACCACCAGCCTGAATTTTCTTGCTTTTATTTACAGTGAGAACAGATTCCTGTAATGGCAATTCATGCTACATGAACAGCAGCAATGCTAGTTTTCAGGGTTTCATGGTATTAGAATGTGTCAGTGGAACTCTTTAATACTTTTAATTCTTCTGCAGAGAAGTCGTGATCCCTGATGGGGCTTGGGCACCCTGGAACGGATGCTTAGGGAAGGCCACGGGGTGCAAGCATGCCACAGACATCTGGCCAGCCCTTGGCCAGCATGAACAGACAGATACTTCGAGTCCCATTTTATTAATTGAAGTCTGGCCAGTCGATCAGAAAGCATCTGTGTAACACAGTTGGATATCCGTTTTCTAATGCAAAAGGCACTCAGAATTCTCTTATAGAAGGTCTGGTTTCACTGCTGGAATTTGAAGTTAGACTCCTCATCAAATCACGCTTTTGTCCAGGCTACTCCCTTCATTTAGAAAGATTTCTAGAAGTATGCAGTGGCAACTTTCTAGTACCATTTCAACTTTAATCACAACCAAAACCGGGAGGAATCTTGGAGGAGAAACATGGAGCAGTAAGACTGCTTCTGTCACATTTGGCGACTCATCAGGGACAGTCTGAGGAATGTGTTTTGACAGACCCGGTTCTTTCTGGTGGAAGTCTGCCTGCATGGTATTCCTTCTGTTATTTTTAGAGGCATTTACAGCTGTAGGTATCAGTAACTGATAGCTCTGATACGATTTCATGCTATGTACTGGAGCCAGCAAAAACAGATGAGCAGCAGGATTGTTAAAATCAAGGCAGTTCTTGTTCCCGTGTCTAAAAAAAATTCCTTTCTGTTCTCAGTCTTTTTAAAACCCAGGTGGGTAGCCTTGCTCCGGGTTTCTCTGTATGTGGAATGTGGTTCAGCACCTACTAAAAGATGCCGGTGGCAAGATTTCCTTCCTGAAGAAGCTGTGCACCTTTAATGCTGCAGCAGTACGATCTCAGAAAAATAAAAACAGTGCTGCTGCTTTGGGATCGCAGTCAGCTCGTTCTGGGAATGGCAAGCTTTCTCTCCTGTTCCTAGTACTTGCAGTTTTTGGCCCAGTAGTGGCTGAAATTAATAGTGTAATGTCCTTGTCTCTTGTGGCTAAGCTGCCTTCCCACAGCCCGAGAGACTACACCTGTGTAAGGCACTGCTTGCAAAGAATAGTGCTATTTGGAAAGATTTAAGGTCTGAAAGGGTTTTGCAAAAAGTCTGTCACAAAACTGTGGGTTTCAGGTTATGCCATGTTGTAACGCCGGCTCCCTTGCCCTTGGAATTGCTGAGAAATGCATCAAGACTTAAATTAATTACTCTCGCCTTTCAATGATTTTCCTAGGCAATTCGCATCTTGGTTCAAGAGCGCCTGACGCAGGATGCCATAGCGAAGGCCAGTCAGTCCAAGGAGGTTTGTATATGCACTGCATGAGTGTAGCGTTCGTTATTCCGTGTCGAGTAAAGGAGCGTAGGCGTAAATGTCTCCCATCTCAGTCGAAACCAGTTCTGTTTAAATATTTCACTGAGGAGGGTGCTGTAAACTTGCTTTATCTTCGCCATCGTGATTCTAAAAGACCCAGAGGATTATGAGGAGTACACAAAGCCCTTTTTGTTTCGGCTGGATACAAATACATGTACCTGTGTGAGCTGTCACGTAGATGGCTGTTCTCCTGTCTTCGTATTTGCTCGAGGATTACCCTTACTGTTCAGTGCAGCAGGCCTACAGGATGAGAAGCAATGTATGACCTGGCTTTTCCTTGGAATCGGCAGTGTTGGCTGCGTAAACAGGTGGAAACGTTCCTTGTATGGAGTGTTTGCTTTGTACCTCGTATGTGTTTAAGGAATGGGATGCTGGACATCCAACTCCCCCTCTCCCTTCCCCAAAAAGAGAAATGGTGAAGGAAACTTCTGCACTTAAACCTCAGACTTTGCAGAATTATTTTCTAACCACAAGCTGTCTGTAAGATGTTCCAGGGGATGACTGTGGCTTTTCAGATTGTCATCTCTTAGGCGTCCCAGTTGTGCTGCTCTTCTCTCCAGCACAGAGCCCAGCAGCTGCTGGCGCTGGCTCTTGGGCACAGCCGGGGGAGGCAGCCCCTCTTGCCCCGCAGGTCCCCGTTGAGATGTGTCCTTGCTAAAGGAGCTGCATCTGGTCAAAGAGCGCCAGTCCCTTCATCTTTTCTGGCAGCTTCTGAGAACACTCCATGCTTTATTTAATATCATAACACTGCGTATGGTGTTTACTAAGTGGCACTCGCAGGTGCTCGGAGTTGCAGTGCAGTAACTGCCAGAAGTGCTGGAGCAGTAAATCAAAGCTTCGCTCTTGTATATCCATAAAAATCATTAAAAGAGCAGGAAAATATGAAGGCAGCTGAGACTGCTGTAGTCATTTTTGGTTCTATAACGAATGTTAATAAAAAGCTGCTTTCAGTTGTTGTTTACGTAGCTGCACAGCTGACTTGCGGGGATCAAAATGGGATTTTCTGTGAGTTTGGCAAAACTGCTTCATTAGGGAACAGCAAATTTTTCCGTAACAAAGAATTGTTCAGTTTTGGTAGGTCCTCACAGCATCATCAGGTCTTAGGTTGAAATGTCACTGCGTCGCTGAATGTGATAGATGTCATTGAGAGGGTATTCTCGTTAGGAAGGCTAAATTTCAGCGGGGATGGAGATAGGACAGGGGGTCGGAGGCAGGGAAGCAGCTTTATTGGTGCCAGCAGTGACCATCAACATCGTAATGTACCAGATGAAAGAAGAAGGTACCTTAAAAGCAGAGGGGATATCTGCGGCGCAGGGTAGAAGGAGAAGAAAAATAAACCTCTGCTTCTGATTTTGGCTGGCTTGTTAATGGCCAAAATGCTAGCCAGGGACGCTTTGTGTATTAAACCGTGTTCCTGGAAACAGGTTATAAATGTCTGACTGCTGCATGGCAGCCGACTTAATATACAAAATGTCATGAGTTGCATTCTTGACAATATCAAGATACAGTGGGGAAAAAGTAAAATAGATACAGCAGTGTTCTCTGACTGAAGGAGATGTGTGAGGGCTGTGCTGAGGAAACTTGGACTGCTGCACTTGTGGTTTAAATGTAACAAATAAAATGAGATTTATCTTGTTGAGTGTCAAGGTACAGTTTTTAAGATAAGACACGACACTTATTTTTTTTAGATTGTTTTGAATGGCTAGCAGTTCCAGAAGGGAGCTGAAATACGGGGTGGGGGGGATGGGATGGGGTAACCAATGTTACACTGCCAGGGTGCCTCCAAAAGCCACCTTTGAGGGTGCCACCGTGGTCACTCAGCGTTGGAGGTGCCAGCAATGGCCCTGGGGAATTTACCCACGAAGAACTGACTGAATCGATGTTTTGCTGCTCGTGTGGCTCTGAGAACACGCTGGGGTGGCAGTGAGGTCTTTGCAGCCTTAAATATAAACCCGATTTCTTAAAAAGCAGATGTGTGAAGTCTGGTATCACTGGGATCTGTTTGAAGTGGCATCCTTAACAACAAGCTGTTCGAATTTTGACAGTGCAGACGTTGTATTAAGACTGCAGTTGAACATCCCTTTTACTGGAAAGGCTGTGGAGAAGAACCACTTTTTGAAAATGGGGTATTAGTTTCGGTCAGCAGTTTGTATTTAGTTTGCGCTGTTTTGATCCACTCAGAAATTTTTTTTTACGTGTATATAAAAGCCTTTAAAAGAAATCCTCACTGTTTAGAAGGTTTACAGTCCCATCATTGTAGAAACTAATGGTATTGAACTCGAGTGTTTTTGTCGTGCCAAATGCGAGGCATTTGGCAAATGTGCCAAGGCAGACATTGAAAAACGTTGCAGAGGTAGTAAAAGCAAATTCTAACATTTGCATTGTTTAAAGCCAGTTTTATGTGCATGTGGAAATATAGTGAGTAATTGTTTAGCATGACCGCTCCTCCGCAGCTGAGAGGGTAAAGGAAAGAGAGCGATGCTTATAAATGACTGCTAATAAAACTTTTCCTTGTACTGTCTTAATAGGGCAAGTGTTTAGAAAATGGAATGAGCTTTATTCCTAAGCTTAACACTTGAGAAAATGCTTCTGGGGATACTGATGGAGGCTGCAACTTCAGTGCTTGAGAAACTCACTTTGATTACAGAGAATTTTTACAGCCCTCTCAAATCCGCCCGTGCGTTGCAAACTGGCAGCTGTTTAAAGGCAGTAGTCTCCAAGAAAGCCGAATTTGTGCGTGCTTTTTGCTTGCCTGGGTCGCGATGTAGCTGCATTGGGTGTTCTCTCACAGTACTGCTGTTGGCCTTTTAAGGATTGAATGTGGGCAGCGTGTATCCACTGGGGTTCGCTTGACAAGTAGGGGGATTATTAAGCATGAAGATTTTGCTTTATTATTAATGACTCTGGGTTTGATGTTTCAGGACGCAAAGGCACTCATATGTAATCAAGCACGATGACTTCTCAAAGTTGTCACACATGCCTGTATAAGCAAAACTCAAGTGTCCTCTCCTCCAGAGTTACCTGCTGTGTAGTACTTGATTTTATTTTCCAAACGTGCAAAATGACATTTCTAATTCTGTTTGAACATGCTTTTTCTTTTTAAAGGGTTTGCCTGTTGCTTTAGAAAAGCACATTCTTGGTTTTGACACAGGAGGTAAGCAGTTCTCTTCGTGTTGCTTTTAAATGGTGATGTTTGCCTTAGAGTATATTACTGTCAAAGACGTAGATAACGGGTACAGTGAAGAAGACTGTAGTGGAAAGAATTGCTCCCTCCCAGCTGGTTATTTACGAGCGCTCCTGAGCCTTTTGTTTTGGAACAGCAAAGCATAAATCGTAGCTGTGGGATGTGTTGTCTCAGGGTAATGTTTGAAGAACAGCTTTTAATGGCAGCCACGTTTGCAAGCGGGAGGAATGCATCTCCCGACTGCTGGCTTGTAAACCTTGCATCTGCCAGCAGAGGACTTCTGTGCTGCTTCTGCGCCTTGCAGCCTCGTAATTTACCTAAAATCTAATCGGAGGCGTGACCTGACAAATAATTTAGTAAGCAATAGCGAGGTGACCCGAGACTCCACTAGTCTGGCTTCGCCTTTGCGCCGTGTACACCTAAATTACTACACGGAGCGCTCCGTGCTGACCCGACGTGGCTGTCTTGCTGCGGGAGGCTTTGCAGAGCACCCTGTCCCTCTCTAGCAGCAGGGAGAGTTGTTTCCTATTTCAAGTATGAAAACCACAAGCACGGATGAAGTGCGGAGCATTAACTTAGATGAAGCTTTTCTTAAGAGCTTCGTATCGGATGAAAATGCTTGGTAATGACCTCTCTTTCTGCAACTCGCCCAGATGCTGTTCTCAATGAAGCTGCCCAGATCCTCCGACTGCTGCATATAGAGGAGCTCCGAGAGCTGCAAACAAAAATTAACGAAGCGATTGTGGCGGTTCAGGCGATCATTGCTGACCCCAAGACGGACCACAGACTGGGGAAAGTCGGGAGATGAGCAGATAAAAGCTTTTAGTCTCTTGTGTACTTAGTACAATTAGGAACTACGTACAACTCTGTACCACTCTGGCATGCAGTTTGAAATGGTGTTATTTTACTGTTTTGAAAGAAAACAGGAAATAGAATTCTGACTTCAAAAAAATTACCATTTTTCTTTAAATAAATGAAGCTGGGGAAAATAGACAAATTGTTCTGATTAGCTCCGAGCTGGCAAATGTGACTCTTTGATTGTGTTTGGCTTTGTGTTGAGGAGGGAGTGTTACATAAAGGCTCTGCAGATTTCTCTTTTGCTGAGGTCCTGCCATACGAGCAGCTCGCTAAGAGCTGGCTGGCTTGCTGTTTCTCCACGGTCTACCCTACAACTGAAATATTTAACAAGTAAATCCAAAGGGAAACTTAAAACCACCTTTTTTTTTTATTCAATTATTGAAGTAACCTAGAAAAAGTGAAGCGTTACAACGTAAATGGTATTTCTGAACATGTATTGGTCTACACTGGGTAGGTCTATGAAGGCACTTGGAAGAACCAACAAGCATGAACAGATCAATTCTAGCATATTCTTCTAATATAAATACTAAAAGACATGCATTGAGGCAGTGGTGAAAAGACAGGATTGTCTTCTGGAAGGATTTCAATGCCTTTGCCATATTGCATAGCTGTTCCGCACCCTTGTGGAGCACACACAGTCTCTGTCTTCAGGGCTGTAGGTTGCTCAGACCCAGCACGATACTGCATCCTAAGCTCCCTGTAGGCGCTTACTTTTTGGATAAAAGGACCTGTTGGTCAAAACTATGAAAAATGAATCCACTCTTCTTCCAATAAAATAAAACATTTGAATAAGAAAGCTATGTTTTAAATTTGCTTGCATAAGCAAGAGTTAGAGTAATGGCCTGAGATTCACAGGACCATTTTTTTCCTAATATATCAATGTTTTCCACTTTTAAAAAAATACAGTAGTAAAGGCTTGAGGTATAACTTCAAAAAATACTTTGCTAATCTTTGGCAGGAAGGTAGGTCGCTTCATTGGCCTCGGTTACGGGCTTTCCCCCCTTAGCTGTATGCAGTGACAGTTTTCTGGGTCTGAAGTTCTTTGGGTGCAAAGATTGTTCTTTCTCGAAACAGCCGTTGTTATTTCCGTGCTGCAGAGGGAAACGGGTGTCTTTAGCGTGTCGAGCGTGTAACTGCTGGCAGACAGCAAGGAGGGGAGGGGGTTGGTCGTGTTTTACCTCCGGGGCAGTAGGGATAAACTGCCGTTATTCCATAGAGATGCGATCGCTGCTCTGGAAGATACTCATCGGTGAAGGAGCCGGTTTCTTTGTCGATAGCTATCACCCCATCCCTGGGGATAAAAGGGGGAGAGGTGCTTTACTCATCTGTGGAACCTGGGTTTTTTTTTTTTCCCCATCTACACACATTCAAGAACCGAGGCAGCTAAAAAGATTGGTCTGAACACCTTCAGAACAAGCAGGAGGAAATTCGCCCCATAAAAATCTCCATCCAGCTCATTCAGCGCGTTTCTCTCGGGCGATGCAGAGTCGCAGAGGAGCCTTCCAGGGAGAGATTATCTCCCCGAGAGTCTCCTCCAAGCGTGGCAAGCCCTTAAGTGTTTGTTGTAATCCACTAAGATTTGATTGAAGCTTTGAGAGCTTCCAGCTGGAGCGGGAATAGAGGCGAGTTCCTGATGCTGAGGGCCTTGGGTGGCGGGGGGAGAGGGAACGACTGAGGACAGAATCTTTTCTTTGACTTAATCTAGATTCAGAAACTAGTGCCAAGTTATATTAAAAAAAACCAAAACCCAACCACTAATTCTGTCCCTCCCAGGACGCTGTTTCTAAACAACCGTTCTGTGCCGAGATTTGCAAGCGGGCGTTGCTGGTGGTGGCACTGCAGGAGACCCAAGAGAGCGCTCGGGTGAGGTGCCAGGATGTGGGGCTGGGGAGCAGGCTGGGGACAGCGTTCTGCTTCCCCACCGCTGGCTTGAAGCCCCCCTGCATCCAACCTGCTCGCTAGCCCGGCTCCGCAGGGAGCGGCGGGGTGGGAGGGGAGCCCTAGGACTGCTAGCTGGGCGTTCCTGGCCGTGGGAGGGGGTGGGTTTTCACAGAATCCCAGCATGGTCAGGGTTGGAAGGGACCTCTGTGGGTCACCCAGCCCAACCCCCTGCCCAAGCAGGATCACCCAGAGCAGGCTGC